CCCGACGGCGGTAGCGGACATTCCCGACTATATCCAAGATGGCCGCCAGCTTGTGCCGACTAGCTATTTTACTACTTTTCTGTCGCGCTGTGGAATATTTAGGCTGATCTAAACATCGGCAACCCGGCCAATTGTGGAGTTATATTGTAGGGAAGCTCGGGACAGCAAAAAACCGGGTCAAAAACGGAGCATCGTGCAGCCAACGGGAAATGTGCAGTTCTGCCAATGGATCTTTCCACGACTCTTGTCTGAGGGTAATGCAATGTAAGCCCGAATCAAGAGTCGCCACGGCTAATTCCAAAGAGACCTAAAATCTTTAAACAAGGAAGTCAGGTAACAGCATAACAGATGTGGAATGATAAAATAATGTAAAATTTTGCAACCCAAAATGTTGTCAAACATTTTTTTCACGCACAGAAGCCCGTTCCCCATAAGAACAATATGTCCAAAGTGCCCTGAACATTGCCACGCCCACCCAACATCTGCTTGGAGATTGCAGACGACAGCTGCCTTTTTAGTCTTCTTCTAAACAAAAATAAACTCGAAATTTGCCGTGATGTTGCCTCAGACTTTTCAAAATATCTTGCTTAAAATGACAAGGAAGAACTTAGGAAACAACCTAACAGTAACTTACCTCCTAAAACTGACGTTAAACAGCCTTCAAGGACGATTTTTGCCCGAGGTGTCCCTTCCAGTTCCAAGCACGGCCGCCATCTTGATTCGCATCTCCCGGGTTCTATTTCGCAATGCACCATGGGTACCACTTGTTCCCTTCATAATGTATTACATCAATCAACTTTGAACTTTTCATAAATAATGATGGCATGAACAATTTACTTTACAGAAATGAATTATGGCAGCTATGCATTAAGGGCGCCACTTATGGAATAAAATAATTACAGGATAATGTATATTCCCCCTGCTTTTCCTGTATTTTGCTACTTTCCTTGCATTTTTCACAATTTTCTTCCGATCCTAACAGTAACATTTTACATGGACATAATAAATGAAATGAGGTCCCAGGGATATTGAAGGATATTTTTAAGCTCATTGACGACAGTACATCATATTGTCTGACATAAAATAACTGGTTGAATGAGAGTGGTAAAACTAGATGGTGCTGTCCTTGGTGCTGAATAGTTAGGCCATGTTGATTTTTGATTATATGGATGACATCCGGGTGCGCATGAATTTTCATTCGTTTCCAAAAAGAAAAAAAAAGTTTTCAACCATTCTATAAATTATACTTAAGCAGCTAAAGGAGCAAATATTTGCCGTAAATTGCAATATTGGAAAACGATATTTATGTCATAGAATGCCAATTCCAAAGGAAAAGAAGAAAATGTGAAGAAATGAAAATAAAGAGTACTAAGGCTTGCCAACCCCTTAAAATTATTAAACTAGTCAACCAATATGTAAGGTCTTATTTAATCAACTCAAGCAACAAAAGTAAAATCAACAAAAACAAATGAAAGTGATTTTTTTTTTATTTGCCAGTGGCAAGAACAATACATTTTTCTTACTCCATTGTTTTCAGGCCTTACAATAAACAAGCAATGGCAATCAAGTGCCATGGTGAAGTTTTTTCTAATCCAACCTTAACTGCAAACTTGTACATCTGACAGTTGCACCACTTTAAAAATGGCAATCATTTTTGAAGTTACTGGCTAAATTGACAGTCAGTCAAGGTTTGCCATAGGGTGCCATCAGTAGATACATAAAGTCCAAATAAAAAGCTATTATCTACAGTAACATATTATATGCTATTTAAAATCATGTACAAAGTTATGATAAAATGTTGATAAATATTGCATATTACTTTTCAAACTAGCTATGTTTCTTGTATTGCATTCAGTATTCAATGACAAAAGTAAACAGTAAGTTACTGCGTGCAGCTTGAATTCAGAGTAAATAATTTAGCTAGTTTTCAAAATTATTCAAGTTGGGCACAAAACGACTATCTGCACACATCATCTAAATCATTGAGGCATGCAAATTCTTGTCAAGTCTTTGCCCTATGTTGATTTGAACTTCATTTTTGTAATCACTTGCACTTAATCAAAGTCATATGCATTGTTTACAATAAGATACAAACTGCTTTAAACAAAAGCGTAACTTTATAAAAAGAAAGAGGAAGGGATAGCAAATTTCTAACACTTTGACTAGTTAGAGTAGCACTTAAGTGCAGCACACAATCAGTTTTGCAAAGCAAAGGGCGCAGCGTTCAGCATTTGTATTTTGCTGGTTACAATGACGCAGAGTTGTACTTTTTATAACTATTTATCTAATTCCAAATTAAAGCCCATCCTGTAGACATTTCAACAACAGAATAGTTAGTCTAGTGAAAAATACTGTTCCAAATTAAGCCACTGTCAATTTTTGATAGAGAACGCAGTAAGCAGAGTCTCACAAGAAGCCAAGTCCCTCAAGAAGCCAGGTCTGAGACATAAGCCAAGCCTAAGAAAAAAGTAGATACAGAATTCTGATGTAGTTTCTTCATGACAATTGAAAACTCTACAACTAATTTCAGTTTGCAGCAGCTAAGTTTTTTTGTCACCAAGAATAAAAGAAGCCTCTGAACCATAAGCCATTATTATTTTGTGTGCGTTATTTTCTTTTATCACATTATCTTTTGTAACATAAGTTGATGCAGTGTTCGCCTTGTCCAGAAGAATTGTGAACTTCAAGGTTGTTGAGTGGTGCAGCATCATAGAAGTCTGATGGTGTCAGAATCAACTCTGCAGAAAATAGGAAAACATATTAATCAACATCATTCTATTCACATTAAGAATATTAAGTGTTCAAAAACTCGTTTTTTTCCCAAGAAGCCATATATAGAGTGGAACTCGCTGCCACCAACTACATGTACAGTAGGGGCATCATCACTAGATTTAAACAATTCTTAAAGTATAGTCCACAAAGGTTAGGTGTAACAGGTGGATCAATGTATTATAACCTGGGCTGTGCCTGCAAAGCTGGTGCGTTCTTGCTAATAGTATACAGATACAGAAACTAGTGGTCCATTCTTCTCCAGTTTTGACTAAAGATAAGGCTTCTTCTTCTTAGATACCCTCTGACCACCAAGTATGGGGAATTACTGAAGGAAGGGGGAGCGGTATGTGGATATGGCAGGGTGGCTGCATTAATTGTTGTGGCCTGCATTATCAGACAAGCTTGAGGGAGATTTTCCAACTTGAAGTCACTCACTTGTAGCCCAGGAACTGTTTTATGCTGACTGTATTTCTATGTTAATAACCATGGGTTATTATACAAATTGTAAATATTTAAATTCATCAAGCAAAAGTGTTTAATCTGTCGATACAAAGTAAACATGATTGCAACTTGTATTAATGACCCTGCTATTGATGGTTCATGTTGTATCGCATCAAAATTCAGCCTTGTACGTCACAGCTGCCAGTCATGCTCTTGTTGATACAAATAAACCAATAAACAAACAAACAAGGAAACAAGACTCACGTTTACGTGAAGTGAGACTGCACAGGCACACTTTCCTCTGGGGTTTGTTGCGACACAGATGAATTTTCCCGTGTCGTTGACCGAGACACGGTCCAACCGGAGGGTGTATCTCTCCCCAACGGTCCGGATGTGGAATCGCCCGCCGTCAAAGATCTACAAACATTTCAGCAGTGTTTTAAGTAACAATTAGCTTTTGATAAGGAAGATTTTTTGGTGCTAGATGAATATGATTATGGTTTTGTGTTTATTACAAAAATGTGTTGAGGTATCAGCTGTCAGAGATATCAGGTTTTGATGTCTTTTATGACTGGGATAAGAATATCAGACCTCATAAAATCATTTCCTAGGTTTCTGGACTTGACAATCATTGATTAACTTGAATATCATGTCTGAGGGTAAAGTTTGTACATTGTTACAGACAATTTCAGGGAGAGATTCAAATCCTCCTCCCATCATCTGTTTTCATTTTGTCCTTTTGTTCAAATTTTAGTCAAGAAATGTTTGAAAACCATGAAGGAAATGACTATTTGTGGCCTGACCTGCGCATGTTACTCTTAACCAGGTGACTTTTCTTTTTCTTCATGCAGAGGTGCAGTTACTGTAGTTTTCCTGTAGTCTTACTACATACAATACCTTGTCACAAACGTGCGACTGGCTGACCATCCGCACAACTGCAGTACCATCGTAAAGTGATAGGTGGCGCAACCAGATGGAGTAGTACATGGAGGGAGTAGTAGTACAGCATCACAGCAAGGCAGGAGGAGACCAGGACAGGTTAAAGGTTATTTGGTTTCCATGGGAACAGGGCATTCCAAGGGTGAAAGTTTGGAGGTCATGAAACCGGATTGGTCAGTTGTAAAATGATGTTTGTTTGTGGCCAAATGGATGATCTGGAATAATTTTGTAATGACCAAAAACAGCAACATAATTAAACACTAAACCATTAGATCTCATTTTAAAGATCAAAAAAGGAAAATTTATATTCCATTTCTATATCAATGTTACGTCTGGGGATGATTTCAATGTGATTATTTTCCACTTTTTTAACAAAAATAGTGTGACAAAAATTCAGCAAAACGATGCCAAACATTTTTAAAACAAAAGTTTAAAGTGCTTCATTGGGCTTCAAATAAAATGAAACAATAAAGATGACATGTTTCGATGGTTGATGACTTTCACGCTGGACAAAACTTCGTGCAATTGGGATGGTTTGATTCCCATGCTTGAATGTGAACAATCAACAAACTTCAAGATCATCACCATCATCATCATCATCATCATCATCATCATGCTCCGTGGAAAACCCTGGTGTAGGGCAGAAGAGGTTACTACAACTGCACATCAAGCAAATCCCAACTACATGCACCATCGCAGCAACTCTCAGTCTGGATATCAGAATTCTGTTCTATGTTCTATCATTCTGTTCTATGTTCTATCGCCCTGTTCTAATTTTGTTCCATTAGGGTATGGTCAGTGTTCTTTTATTCTGTTCTAAGTGTTCTATGATTCTTTTGTAAGCTCTATCACAGACAAATGGTTCTCTATAATGGTTCTAAGCCATTTAGAAACACAGTTACTAATAGCTATTATGATTAATAATGATCAGTTCTACAAAGCATTATGTGTCACAATCTAAGACACCATTTGAATGTCATTACAGTCCATCATATACATGTATCATAAACAATTTCTAATACACAATTTTAACGCTAAGACTTTTCTACGCATAATTTTCAATGATTTTTTGCCTTATTTTCATACCAAACTTCCTAAGTAATGAACTTTGTAGTAATCTCACCAACAGCTTGAGGCATGGCTAACTAACTGTACAATGTATAAAAGTTGATCCTATATAATTGGCCAAAAATGCACAAAGAGATGGAAGCGAGAATACAGCATATTTCTGGAGAGGCTAGCAGAGCAAACTACTCCACACTATGGGGGTGATTTTACCTCCTGTCCGTTCTTTAACCAGTGCACTTCAGGCTGAGGATCTCCTGTGATCTGACAACAGAACTCCACCGAATCCCCCGCACCAACCGTCGCTGGTTTGGGCTGGGACACGAAATCTGGTGGGATCATCTCTCTGTGGGGTAGGGTGAGATGTGATAGAGGTTAAAGTAGAGGACAATATTTCTCAGAGAAAATGAACTAAAGAGTACAAAATTTAGACAGTTAAAATTAGTAGTTCAATGAAGGTTAGACATCCAGGTAATGAGATACACTCATGAAGCAAACTGTTACTGTAACAGTAACTGTTACTCAAGCAACTGGATAGATAATGGAAACTGTCAGACATTTCCAGTAGAATCCACTATTTTCCGTCAGTGGGTAAAAGAGGCTGTATTCATCAAAAAACTTGAAAGTAGAACTGAATCTGCCTGTCACTGACTAGTTTTGCCTACTTGTATAGCAAGATGGCAGATGTACATAAAGTTTGTACTTAGAAGTAATACATACCTTTGTATATACCCTTCCAGTGCAGATTTTCCTAATAATATACCTTATATGAGAAGACCAGTCTGAGAGTGACTGGTAAGAGAATTTTTATGTTGGATCTAAACTTTGAACTCTGAACATGTAACTACGTACCAACACAGATGAACTTTCATGACAATATACCTTATAGGTTGTTAGCTATTTAGTAGATACAAGTCATGTATTACTTACTTTTTCTTGGGCAGGACAGTGATGACCAGGTCACACTTGGACACCCCGGCCGGTCCCTTGGCCTCGCAGGTGTATGTTCCCTCCTGCTGTTTACTGACCCTGTGGATGGTGAGGGTGTGGGTGGTGCCGCGCGTCGTCTGTTTGTACTGGGAGCTGGGCTGCAGCTCCTCTCCGTTATACAGCCACTTCACGTCGTCACCTGGAATAGGTTCTGAACAGGTTAGATTGTTATGTGATACAGACACTGTGTCCCCTGGAATAGGTTCTGAACAGGTTAGATTAAGTTATGTGATACAAACACTGTGTCCCCAAAACAGGTGTTAATAGGTGACAACAACAGGTGTGAGATATAGAAATCCGGTCAATAAAGTCATTTCCACTTTCTGTCGGTGCACAGATGGTACTGGTTACTGTTAAACCACGTGATGGTGCG